ATAGTAGTAGATCCAGTTCATTATACAATTCTTCAGGTATTGCCACAGATTGTGAAGAAGGGAAGCGGCTGCAGAAAGCGGCGAGTAGAAGACTTTTAAAGCATCGAATGCCAATATAATGAATTATTTTGCAGAATGGATGGGTGCCTACTGAATATCTACTTATTATGAGTTAGTAATCCAAAACTGATTTTGGGGATATCCTCAAAAATACAGATTCTGCGATAATGCCAGAATCAGAGTATGCTAGCATGTAAGAAGAAGTGGTGGAAACTACCCGTAAACTAGTGTCAGTGTTTCTAAAGAAACAGTTGTGTAAAAAAAAAAAGAATAAGTCAAACAACTTACTGACGTTTCGGACGCTAATACTTCGTCKGAGTAAAATGTCTTTTTACACAACTGTAATTAGTAGAAATAGTTTTACCTTGTTTTGGCGAGTCTTTATCAGCTTGACGAGAACGACTGCAAATAAGTAAGAACTTGTTCAATCATTATATATCTAAATCAAATTTCAGCAATCAAAATGTCRGAAGACATTTACCCTCTTTCAGGTGACCTAGATCGGCTTCTTCGATGAGCGCTCCAGTTTCTTGGGGAGGGAGAACGACGACTCCTAAACGCAAGGAAAAAAGTTAGAACTCAAATATAAARAATATTAATAAGGAGTTTTTYATAAGGTACTAAAGATTCTCGACTTCGGTTCGAATCTTTAWATATCTGATAAAACACTCTCTCTCGTGTTTTAAACTATACATAAACAGATCATAGCATGGAAAGTGCTTTTTTTATTCACTCGTTGTTTGCATCATTTATWGTACATTCAACAAATACTTTTTCGTTGGTGGAGAGGAGGAGTATAATCAATTATTTAATTGTAGTCCTTATAAACTTTTGTTTCACTGAAYGTACTRTAAAMAAACAGTTGCACAACCTCTCGTACAATTTGGAATTTTAAATAGTCACGAGTAATGAGTTTTCAAATTGGCTGCTTTCGATTGTACYCTCCCCCGCCTCGTCTCGCAATTGTTGAGCAATGTCCCCTGTAGATTCAAAATGTTTATTGCCTTTTGTTAGAAATCAKCCAATCYAATTTGAGAATACTCTCTTCTTTTGGTTCCTGTTGGAAATCTTTGCGYGCAGTCTCCTACCTTATATTAATATAAGTAGGTTAAACAATGGCATATCAAAAATGGCGTAAAACCTCTTAAAAACGAAAGATTTCAACCAGGAAGGTAAGAGACGTTTTATTTATATTAGAATAATATTATTTTGGCAAAAAAAAGAAATTGTGCGAACGACATATTTTATACTACGTTTTTGAGCCTGGGTTACCTGTGATTGCACTTGTCCTATCGGGCTCGTGCAATTACGAAGAACTTTCAAAACACTCGTGACTATTTAAAGTTCAAAATTGTACTCAAGGACGTGCGATTTTCTAAACAGCGTTCAATAGAGCAGAGCAGAGCAGAGCAGAGCAGAGTTAAAAACGATTATCAATTTTGGAATAAACTATATTGAGTAGTCAACGTTTTCTGAAATAGCTATACTTACTCTCTCCATTTTCTTTGCATTTCTCTGAGATCGTCCTCACGGTCCTCAAATATAAAAAAATTAAGCATTATAAAAAACAACATACTATTACACGTATC